TTTGGGGCTACATAAAGCATATTGTAAGAATATTAGTTTAAATCAACAAAATTATTAGCAAATATTTATATTTATTTTTTGCACCCATTCCCTCGAAAATAAGTTTTATATCAATATAACAATAATAATATAATAAATTTACATATGTGTATAATTGAATTAAAGGTAACTACTACTTTAACTTGTTGAATATATAAAAAAATTCATTGGTTTCTTACATTTTTTTCTCTGTTTCTTAAATTAACAAAATTATTGGCGATCAAAAAAAGTGGCACAACCGTACCCATTCTCCCACACAACATAAAAAAATGTGGAAATCTGTTATGTACTATCCAAACCACTAAATGTCAAGACAAAAAATAATTATTTTTTACTAAATTTAGCAACAAAAACGAGATTAAAGTATTCACATATTCATTCTTGGAAAAAAAGCATGGAACTGTTCATAATCGTGCAAAAACCTAAGATGAGATCATTGTTCTATAATAAAATAACTTAGTCTGACATGCTGAACTCAAATTCAATCGCCAATTAATTAATATAAATGAACACTCTGTCAGGAATTAACATCATCAATTCATTATGAGATTTTTTTTCCAATACTTATGTAGATATTTGTTTAAATATAAACATTAATTTACTAACAAGAGCTATCATGCATCTAATTATACACTATAGAAATATTTTGTACATGAAAAAAAATTAAGTGTTTGTACATGTGATCGCAAACCAAGCTCAAATATTACATGATTTAATAAATACATTATAGTAAAATAATATTAGAAAGTTGAAGTATACTGTGACAGAACTGTTGATTTCTTTACTAGTAATTATTTTTTAAAATATTAATAAGAAAATTGATAAATAAAATCCATAAGATAAATGTGTAAATAAATTTATATCAATTTTGCTCTACTTCAAAGCTATATTAGTTAGTTACTCTAAATTATTTAATTTTTAATATTTATTATTATTGAAATTATTCTAATTTTATATGCTTAGTGAATCTGATTAACACTATCTTTATCTATTTATGTATTTAATATTGATATGGCAGTTTTTAACATTAAAGTAGTTGTTTTTTATACATGCATATAAATGTATATATAGTAAATATAGGATTTATATTTGTTATTATATATATATTTATTTATTTATTTATTTATTTATTTATTTATTATAGAATGTATTTGCAATAAAAGCACTTTACCTAATAATTAAATGTTTCAATAAATGTTTTTTATAAATGATTTTTAAATATTAGAATAACTAGATTAGTATAGAATAAGTATTGATATATTAACTTTAATGTGCTGATTAGTTTTTGGCAACGGCAGGTCTAGCCGTTTCAGAGATACGGAGCAAAAAGTGCAGAAAATATAAATCGATTTTTTTGAGAGAACGTAGCATCTGATTTGAATGATCCAGAAAACATTCAACTTGTAATGACAAGAAGAAGCGGCGATTAATTTTTTGGCAAAGACAGGTTCAGTCGTTTCGGAGATACTGAGCTAATTGTGCCAAAATGGCAGTTTTTGAGAGAACAAAGCATCCGATTTGAATGATTTAAAAAACTTTCTGTCTGTGTTCATTTTTTTTTACCAAAAAAATTTTTTTTGTGTATCGAAAATAATTCGGATTTTAATTTTAATTTTTACTAATTTTTCAAACTTTTGTCTGAATTTTTGATTTTGTAAAAAAGTAACAATTTTGACGAAACTTTGTATGATGATATTTATTATGATGAGATGAGATTTATTAGTTATGGTTGACAGAAAGTCAAATATCTCTGAGAACATGAGAAAGGCCAAAAGTTTGGTTTAATAGTCAAAAACAAAATGGTGCGCTTAATATTGTATATAAAGAAATTACAACTAATTTTTATTATATTTTCAAAAAGTATTTGCTTTATATAATTTTTTATCTCATATTTGAAACACAACAATATGGTCATCTTACAATTAGTAAAAATAATTCGTAATCGAGCACTTGGTTCTAAAAAAAGAAGCTTCATATTAAAAACAATCTAATTTTATTATACATATATATGTTAAACTAATGAAGTTTGTCGTGATACAAATAGAACAGAAAGTAAATCTTACGATTGTACGACCTTGCCATAGAACAGCTGTTAAATTTTTATTCAAATTACTAGCTGTGGTCAGTTTCACTATCCGACGCACGGACGCCGCATAAATCATAGAGATGACCACAATAACATACACCGAGAACTATTAAAAAATAGTATAATATAATATGAATAATAATATTGAGGATTTCAATATAATACAGTGGCTTTATTTTAAAATTGGCTAGTATTAATAATGTTTCTGCAAATGTATAATATGAAGAAATCCATATTCGCAATCCTGTCAGATGTTGAGCGTCATTGTCACAGTCTTGTCGATGTAGTCAGTATAAAAACGTATCTTGTCTTCAAAAAATTATTTTGAGGGTGGTTTTGTAATGTTTTTTTGGACTTATTCATTGTTATTTATAATCATTTCTATTAAAATCGATGAAACTATGGCAGTACTAGTTATTTCAATCAGTTTTATTGCAATTAAAAGACGATTGATAGAATTTTTATTATTTACTCCTTTTTTATCATTTTCGGACAAATTGACATACTTATACAATAGACAAAATAAAACAGTAATTTTTTACTACAGGGTAGTTTATTCGCGGCCAAAAGAAAGAAGAAAATTGAAACCTGTCAAAGATTATTAGGTTTTTAGCTTCTAGTCTAATTACTTCTTAAAACAGACCAAGAAATACACCGGTTAAAAGAAGAGCATTTATTGTCGCATTTTAGCTGAATTTGCATTTATTGTTGAGAAGACTTTGTTACAAATGGAACAATTTAATATTATAACTAGTTGTAAGTGATATTTTTCCTAAAAGCAATTAACATCTCGGCGTAAATAATCGACTTAATTATTGTAGGGTCCATTAATTAAGTGATGTATTTTTTATAGGTTTTTGGACCCTCCTCCCCTTAGTGATACATGGTGATATTCAAAATTACCCCCTCTACCATCAAACATTATGTGTATTTTTAGTTACATTAGATAATCATAATTAAAAAAAAAATATAATGTTTGGAATAAAAAAAACATATCTTACTATATCCCTCCCTCCCCCATGTAATGCTTTGTTATTTGTTGACAACCCCCTTCCCCATAAAAAACTCATGTAATTAATTGACGCCCCCAAAGGAAATATCTAATTTAGCTTTTTGAATAAACCTTCCAAGTGTTTTAATCAAAAATAAAGTTTTTGGTTTTCTATCTACTAATCAATAATGCATTTTCCAATTCTCTTGAGCTTTTATAATTGTAATTTTACTACATGCTAAATTTTAATGCATTTTTGTAACTCAACCACTTTTTGTAGGCATATAATATTTTAAAGTGAACTCTATCATCATACAAAATTTCAACAAATTCACTTGTCATAATTTTATTTTCAACAATTAATTACAAAGAAACGATGGGAAATTTTTCACCAAATGTTAATCAACACGATTCCTAAATGATATCTTCCAAATGGTTTCAAAATTTTCAAAATTGGTTCAAAATTTTTTGCAAAAATGTGTACGGAATATTTGCACCGTTCTCCTGATCAAATGGATTTGTTTTAATTTGGGTAGAGCCGTTTTTGATGGAACGTCGGCGAAGGGTCTAATTTTATTTCACACATTATTTTTCCAATTTTGGTATCAAACGATTCAGAATGACTTAAAACTTTGCAAAAACATATAATTAATAAATCGATTTTTTTGCCGAAAACCTGCATTTGATTAGAAAATAATCAAAACAGTAAGCAGTTTCTTAACAACTCTTGGACTATGTATTTTCCAAACTGATTATTATTTAATAACTGATGAATTATTTACAGTGCTTATATACATATTGCATACAAGATTTGCAACAATGTGCAAATACATATGGTATGCACAATTTTCAAACCGCAGTTATTCACAGTGAAAATAAATGTATTATGCTAACATATATGTTATATGAAGATAAATAATGTTTGCCAGCTCAAATATCAAAACATAATAGTAAATACCACATGTGAAATGAATTATTGTTTTCAAACATTTGCTTGTAATTGCATAATATGATAATTATTTTAAAGATTTATTGAGCAAAACAATTACTATTAAACTGAAAGAAATAAAATGTATTAACTAGAAATAAATGTATAATATTAAATGTATTACTATAAAACAAAAAAAGTACTTTTTATTCTTAAAATTTGAAACTGTACATCATTTTAAAATTGGTAGGTATAATTCTTGCTAATATGTTGTTAATGGAAAGACCATTACTTGAAGACTGAATCTTCTCTCATTTATATTAATTTAGTTTCTTCTTTCTTTGTTTCATGATGTAATAAAAAAGCCATTTAATGAAAATACGATGTAACTATTTAATTCATTTGAATGTTTTCTCAAAATTTTACCTTATTTGTAGCATATCTATTTAAAAGTTTGATAAGAGCAATAAATATTGTAATGCAGTTATATGTGGTGTCTGGGAAATGATTATTAGTTTTACTCTTCAAATATATTGCTTGTTATAAATTAAATTAATTGAATTAGTTACTCTATAAATGTTTTTATAAAGCATTTTTTCCAGAAATACTAAAAAAATAGGAATATGTGAAAAAGTGAATAAAACTTTGAGATCACCAGCAGAATAATTTTAATAGCAAAAAGAATATATAATATTTTTATGTACATAAAACCCATATATATATATATATATATATATATATATATATATATACATTTGTATAAACGCTGATGTCTATCAATAAATGGCCTCGATATTGTAGACTACTGGTGTTACTACTTTTATAACCGGACACGATAAAGTATTTTTCGGTGTTTTCTAATTTTTTAAAATAATCCTCTAAAGATTTATTCTAAAATATATTGAATATTTTTTTCCATAAACATAAATTATACAAATATTAAAAAAAAAACTCACCGACAGATCCCCAGTCAGGGTGCGCCAAATTGTTGTACCAGCCATCATACCTCTGTTTTTCTGTATTACTTAAGATTTTCTCTGAAATAAGAAAAAAAATAATTAGTTAATTATTATATAATTTATTCAAAATAATTTCAAATAAAAAATAAACATAAAAAGAACTTTTAGGACTACTATTAATATTAATATTCGAATAAAAACTCGTTGTCTAATCATTAATCAAAAAGTCACAACAAAATCATTGTTTTTATTAGTGTGAATAGTACAAGTATCAAATTTATAATATTCAGGAATTGTGTAGTGACAATTCGAATAAGAAGTATGTTTAATTATTTTTATTATAATAATTATAAATTATATTTACGCATTTAATAAACTTAGTAAACCTATCGAAGTCAGTTAAGTATCTTGTTAAAAATAAAAGAATAAAAAAAAAAGGTAGATAGACATGTTTTTCCGAAAGTTATCGCAAATATGTATTGACCAAACCCAATTTGTTTGATAGAAACCATAGAATCCTGAAAACAAGTTACTAAAATCTTAATAACAAAATAATATACGATTGATGGTCCAAGAAATCGATCAAGTATCATTTTGTATAAATACATCAGACTATGATAGAAATCGATATATTCTTAAGTATATATCCTTTTATATGTAGGCACGATGATTTTTTAAAATATAACTAATAAAATAAGAGGCTGTTCTTAAAAAAACGTGACCATAATCGAGAATAAATTATAAGCAATAAAGAAATAATTAGGTATCGTGTTTAAATTGCACTAAAGAAAAACATTGATGTGGGTTGAGTAATATCCTTTATTTTCACTCATTATAGTGGTTTACTCAATTTGAATGTTGATCTGGAGATGTCTCAATAGATAATCTTGCATAATTTTCAATTTGCTACGAGTAATGTATCTTAAGGTGTTTAGACTGCTAATGTCTATATCCATGCTAAATATTTATAGTTATTATAAAATATATTTTTATGAAAAGGCTGAAACTGCTCAAGTTAAAAAAAATACCCAAGAACAAATTTATTTAAAATTTTATGTATGTACCTGAGAATTCTACCCATAAATGGGTGAACAAAAAAGCTCAATAAAAATCAAGTTTTGTATTGATTGATATTTTGAAAAAAAAGAATTAAATGCATTAGATGTTTGATAAATAATTTTTAAATATTATACTGTGCTTATATAAAATATAAGTTTAACTTTATTTCATAATTCTGTTAACATATAATTCACAAGCATTAGATTGATTTTTGAGACAAATTTAGGTACTAAAATATTTTACTATTATTCTGCAACTTTGATCCATGTTTTGATCTATGCCAATAGTCCTACCTGTTAATCAAATATCGTATTTGAATAAACAACTTTATCTTTTTTTTTAAAAAGTAGTTTAAGGAAGTAAAATATACAAATCTCTATGCTTCGTCTTAATTGACAAAAAACCTAAAGCATAGATGAGGATAAGGTAAGAAAAGCGATATATATGGCTTAAAACTTTTCTTGAATATGGAATTGATAATGAAAAAAAAGGATAATGTGCTATATGCATTATGTACATTATCCATATGCACTCGTCTAAAATTCTACAGAAACGAATTTATGAGAAAATAGTTACAATTTTTATTTGCTTCATACAATACAAAATGTTCTAATATAAAAACATTATTGAATAAATTATTTGAGATCATACACCAATCTAGCCATGCAAGTCACACCTGTAATAAACTTGAAATAAAAAAATGCATTCATAACACGTCAAAACTTCTTTGAATATTTCAAATATAAATTAATGGTATACGAGATGTATGACACACTAGATTTTTATTACCGGATCTAAAATGTTTCGCTTGTTCTAATATGTATATAATTCTATACGTACCATGAAATGTTGATTAAAGTTATGAGGAAGCATGTTTTGATGATTAAACAGAATTACTTATTATGTCGAATGAAGAAACTTTTTTATGCAATATCAAGCCAGAAGAATTCATCCGTTAAAATATTCGTTGACGAAGCGTATTAAAATAACATTTTCAGAAATAACAATTATACTCGCTAATGTCTTACGTAAACATCTATCAAATAGGATAATTGTAACAACAATGATTTTTTTGTTAAAATATATATAATAATTTTCTTTATTTTCTGAGGCAGGGTTCATTTTATTGCTTTCACGTGTCTAGCTAATGAACAACGAAAAATTGAATGCTAATTATTTTTTTAATAACTTTGAACATAAAAATTTAATTAACTGCTTTTATTAAACTATTAAGTAAATTTTCATCATTCAATCAATGAAACACAGTATTAGATTTTAAAACATTTGAAGCATAAAATCAAAAGTTGGTTTTGATATTTTACCTTGAAGCAAGTTACATGAACTTTCCGATATGTGTAAATAATCGACTTAATCAATAAAAAATAAGTAAACTTATGAGTGATTAAAAGTATTCCGAGTGGATTTATTACACATAGTTGAAAATGAACGAACCTGTTAACTCGGAGAATTTTCTAAAATTTTCAAAAATCAATTATTTTTATAATTGAACCAGTTTCCGTAGGATTTTAATGTTTTATATGTTCACTAAGACCAAACACTCTATCATTATACTAATTTTAAATTAAACAAACGTCAAAAAAACTACACATTTTCTCAAACTTTGATAAATTTTTAAAATTTAACTACTTGCGTGTACCAAGGCCCTAATATTTCTTTAATTTCTATAGGAACATGATATATATTCCCAAAAAATTCCATAAAAATCGGTTTCAATTTTTTTTCAACAGTTAATTACAAGAAAACGGCTCGGTAAATTTTCACCTAAAACTCATTCCCAACTCAGTATCATTCCCAACCAATATCTTTTAAACGCTTTTTCAATTTTTAAAATCGATTTGGTAGTATGAGCTTAAATGTGGACGAAAATTTTAATACTTTTTTCCAAATTACGGTAAACGGTAGTCCTCATTGAGATACATCAAATGGCTTTTAAATTTATGAAATCGGTTCAGGCGTTTTAGAGCAAACGTCGATGAAAGGTCTAATTTTGACAAATGACAAAAAACGATACTAATTTTTGCAAACTTTGAAGACTTTTTAAAATTAAACGACTTGTCGCAGGGCCGTAATATTTTAGTATGATCTATAAGACTATGGTATCTACAGTCAAAAAAAAAATCATAAAAATCGTAAAAAAAGATTAACAATTTATTACAAGAAAATAGCGCGGTCGATCTTTACCAAACACTTATCAGGTCGATTTCCAAATAATATGTCTCGAACGGTTTTTGAATTTTTAAAATTCGATTGAGTATTGTGGGCTAACACGAAAACCTAGATAATTCAATATATTTTATTTTTCAGAATTAAACATAAAACAAAAAACCGGATAATTATAATATAATTAAATATTTTATACCAATATAAAGAAATTTTGATTCTATATCATAGACTTGTCTTCAACATAATTTACCTAACAATAGTACAAATATTTTGTTACATCCTATTATATTTTGTTAAATCATTTTATATTCAATTGTAAAGCATTTCATCCAACAGCTTGTTAAGCTATTTTGTGCCATATATTTTAAAACTGTTTTTCCTTTCATTTTCATAATAATATTAATAAAATATTAATTTATATTCAAGTGATTAAATACTTTCGAGAAGCAGCTACTCAATTGCTCGGTAGACAAGTTCATATTTACATAACCCAGTTTTTATATTTTTTTATAATTGCTAAAACCGTTAGGTGCTCATGACTTTACTGACACGAATTGTTGTCAAATAGATTTCAAATATTTCATATAAAGATTGTTTAAAATGCTTCTGTTTACTTTTACTTTTGACTTGTCAAATTGAGTATAATACCTGAAGGTCGTTGCATGATTAGCAAGGTAATTACAATAATAATATTTGCGGATATCTATGTTATAGGTACTTTAAACGTTTATAAAAAGCACGCAATATTTGTTTTATAAATACATAAAACTCATAATAAGAGGTTATTTTATACGCAAGTTTGATTTACGTGATTATAAATAATACATGTGTAAACATTTATTTTGTTTTAGGTTGAGATATTGTTTACATAAAGAAAAGTTGAGCTGAAAATCATTTTCAATAAGTGTAAATATAACTAGCTGTAAGTGGAATTCTGTCTTAAGGCAATTAAGGCATCGTGCCTTAAGGCAAATTGCTGGAACTTCCCGTACCAAAAATTATTATTTTTTTAACATTTTTGAAAAAATTTTACTTCGAAAAAATAAGATTTTTGAGAAACTATAAATTGGACAAAAAATTACTTTTTTTTGGAAAAAATTTTTTTAAAAAAAAAAAAAAAAATTTTAATTTTTTTTTTGAAAAAAATTTTTTTTTTCCTTATTTTGACATATTGTGGAAGATCTGAACTTTCTTTTCAAAGCAATCGTACTGCTTTAACTGCATAAAGACGAAATATCAAACCGCGTAAGCGCCGCGTCGACGTCTAACGCGTAAACATTGGTACGGAACCCATAGGAATGTAAACCAAAATTATACTTATTGTTAAAATCTCTATAAAATATCTGATAATTTGATGTGCATATGTCTAATGATCATTTTTGACCGCCAAATGGCTCATTTTTTTACTTTTTCCTCCATATCTCCGAAACCGCTAGACCTACCTTCATGAAAATTTTATCGATTCTTCATCTTGTCAATACAAGTAAAATGTTTTTTGAATTATTCAAATCGGACGCTTCGTTCTCTTAAAAACTGAGTTACCGTTTTCGGCACTTTTTGCCCCGTATCTTTGGAACGGCTAGACCTGCCTTCGCCAAAAACTAATCAGCACGTCTCCTTATCAATACGAATCGAATGTTTTTTGAATTATTCAAATCGGTTGATCCGTGTTCCCGAAATCGTCGACGAAAATTTGTATCCGCACATACATACACACACATACATACATACACACACACACACACACACACATACATCCATTTTTTCTAAGGTATGCCAAAATGTTCAGAAACCTCTGAAACGTAAAGATATATAAAAATTTTCATTTTTGATTT